TTCTAGGCAACGGTGCGAGTCTTCTACGTCACACTAACACTCGACGACAGGTACCGTGATCCTCCGTAATGTTACAATTGATCTAGCCTCTGAAAGCCTTTATTCCCAGCTAGAAATATGACAATACGTTTGGCGCCGCATACAAGGGCGAAGCGTCATTTTCGAGCGCGTCAATATTACCCGTAAATACTTTCTAATGATGGATTTAGTCCTATTGTCTGACACGGCTGATTAGATCGTGTCGCAGCACTCCTCTAGCGTATGCTGGCCGCATGGAATCAATCACATTTACACGCTGCCAACAGCCTATAGTCTGCTCCGATGCCAGATTAACGTGCACAGGAATCAATTTCGCAACTGTGCTTCGTTTTCAACAAGCGCCTCACGAAGCTTCACGAGTACCAGGCCATATGACCTTCGGTTCTGGGCACATGTGGACGAGCACTGGAAAGCTCGTACTAATTAGAGTACAAGCAGATGTGCATAAAAATGGCATAAACAGATAGCGGTACACAGGGAAGCGGAAGGGCACCTAAAAGAGAACATAATTCTAGTTTGAAGAATCGTCTTTAGAATTCTAACGAAGTTTGGCTAGATATAGTTTATTCTAGCCGACCGTTAAATTACGGCAATGTAGATGTTGGTCTTTGCTTCTGCTTTCAAATAGATGCAAAATCACTCTGGGGACCAAAATAACAAAGCTACAGTAGCGGTAGTTACTCAAAGTTTATTTACAACCATGATAGGTTCATCTGACTACGAGCGACGCGGATCTATTAAGCTCGCTTTCACGTCTTTAGATCAACCATCAATGAACGCTAGTTCTTTCAGGCATCAGAAATCAATTCACAATCAGATTCAGGCTTTTAGTCCAGAGCTATCCCCAGAAGCAGTGTTGTAGAAGTTATGTACAGAAGGAAATATACGTAAGCGTACTATATAGCACTTCCTGATCGTGAACATTCAACTATCCTTAACAATCCAGTCATGAAACATAGAACTGAATGTTAATTGACCTAAGTAATTCGTTTACCGAAGTTTTCTTCTATGATTTAATCCACAGAAAGACCCTGCTGCGCAAAAAAAAGCATGTTAATTTCCGTATTAGAATTGATTTAGTATACAAGTACCATAGGTCTAGATTTGCCGTATTGCCTACACACACAACTAATAATCACGCTACCATCGAAGAATTGAGAGGAACCGGTCTCCGTGTTTTTAAGTGAACGCCCCAGGTCACTACACGACATTTGCTCGAAGATAAACAGATCAGACACTGATAAGCTAACTTGCGCTTCATACCTTCATCGTGGCGATTATTATCAAGTACTACAAATATTGTGGTTAGACAATATACGAGCCTTGTTGTATATATATGCAACATAAATTGATAAACGAAAAACATCTACGCAGACGTAAGCGTCACCCAACAGCTTGTGCCTTCTTACTACTGGTAGCCAACATTCCTACAGATACAAAACGCATTGCGCTCAACAGTGAACAATAAAGCATTGTAGCATAAATATCAGAGACTTCTCCTAGTTTTGTTATAGCCGTGTTGTCCAACTGAAGGCAGCGATCTCCTCGCGTTCGACCTTTACATGAACGTAAAGCGAAAAACAAAGCTTAGAAGGCGATTCTCTGCTTTGACTTCACAATCATATTTATCGGATAGCACAGTTATCGAAGGGCATTCAGCGCGTCCGGTAATCGTAGTAGGCTCAACACGACCATCTTATATCTTCGTCAGACGTTACACGTTGCGAACCAATCTGTTGCGGGCCGCAAGAGAAGGAACAAAAGACTACGCTAGCTAGATAACGTAGGGACAATAGCGCGGCCTCGGCTAAAACCGTTACCGTCTTGGCCAATAGTTATTCAATCAGCAGTAGCTGCAACACTGGTTGCCATGGAGACGCTGGCGGCGACGCCGTTTCTTCAATCTGACTTTTTTGAGCGACTGCCCATGGTCCTCTGGTTTTTTTTGTGCGTATCAAACCTATTGTCGTCGATAGCGATAGGTATAGAACGTATCGTATATTCAATGAGACCAATTTTGATAGCGAACTATCGAGAGAAACAGTATGTGAAGAGATATGGTAAAGCATGCCTAAGAGAAGAAAACGGTATATATATGCATATATATAATGCTGCATGTTAAGTATAATTGGAAGAGTTTGCGCGCACACGCAAACTCACTCCGTGATGTAAATAAACACACAGTAATGGAAACCTAGTATTTCATAACGATCAGCCAGCCATGGGAGCAAAACGTATGCTAGATGGTCTACGATACGTGCTCAATTGTATCTGTAACATGTACGTATGAGTTGCATGCTTGGATGAAGGAAAGCGATCTACTGAATTGCCCATAAAACTACGATGATGTGCTGTTGTTAGGTTCTTGGAAAAAAACTGTCCATGATTGCAGACAAAACGGTTCTATCAGGCAACAGAAAAAAAATACGAACAAAATGCTATTATCCATCGCATGTCTATGCCGGCCGGCTCGTGCTCGTTATCTTGATCATTATGCGAATACTTTTAAGGCAACGCAGTGGCCCTGGCAGCAGAATTCACTATTCACTGTACATTTTCCAGCCATATTTATTGATAATGTGCTTCATCGGTCTCTGAAGCGCATCAGTAATTTTCTTACTGCTGGTCGTACAAACCAGGCGTATTTACGCCCGAGCAAAAGGCCAATACAAACGTCCGTTCTGCGCGACAGAGTATTAGTGCGTCATATTGGAAAACTCATGCTGTTTCTGCTATGGCTATTACCGCTGTGCTATTGCGGCTGTGACTTGTCCTAAAAAACGTAAGAACGTGGCGAATAATCTGTTCAATTCGCATTCATTATACACGCATTGCTCTGCATCCAAACTCGCAGTCGACGACAACCACGACGTTGATGATGAGGACGAAAGCACAATTGGTAATAGTCACCGCGACCCGGAACGGACCAAAGTAAATTCCCACGGTGTTGGGCGGTTCTGCGTCCATCTCACCGACGGGTTCGAAACGAAAGATTAAGTCTTTTTGTTCGTATGACGCAGTCTTCATTGGCATTATCTGTCCTCGGCCTGGTCTAGCCATAGTTACTTTCATCTAGTTGTTGACAAAATAGGATAGGCGAGTCTTCATCAGCATTCTTCAACAGCTCATTGCAGGACCAACAAAGAGGATGAACAAGGCCTCGTTGAGGTTTAGTAGTGAATTGTCCTCGGGTGATCGGGAGCCAATGATAACAACGACGACAGACAGACAGACAACGGCCATATCGATTACGACATGGGCAGTCGTGGTCAGAATCGAAACGAACTATGAAGCATCTTTTTTCCGATGACAGATATATCGGCGACAGAGTAACAGGCCGTTAAAAGGCCATTGATGCTGAGGCCTTAAACTGCCTACAGTCTTTTAGTCGTAGTCATCAATAATGAAATGAACCGACCAAGTGTAACACACGCAATGCTATCAAAGCCTAATACCCTACTAGCGATATCTGCCGGCCAGTCGCTCATTGAAACGGACATGATAAAAGGCAAATAGAGTTAGTAAACCGTAAGTTCGCAATATCGACACTACCATGAAACGTCGAGGTGCTGCAACAGAACCGGTTGAAATCTCTGTATTCCAATAAGCTCCTTAGCGAATAAAAACATAGGATACTTGTTCTTAAAAAGTATCCTTTATAATAGAAGGACAAGGCGACGTGCTATGTGGCAAGAGAGTGAGACAAGGCCAACTGACGGACTCAAGCGCAACGAGTGATAAAAACACAGCAGGACTAGCAAGCTTTGGCACCCCTCTGCTTCTGATTAGAAGATATGGAGTATTCATTTTTATATTTTTTACAATTTAAGTATCATGGTGAGGAGTATTCTCCAGCAGAGTTGAACACCTCAGCGCTCTACGCTGTTGCTAAAAGAATCACAAATGAATACTTAGCGTCTGGCTGTAGGTAATGTAATGAATAAAGATGGCTAATGATAGCATAATAAATACATTTCACAATCGAGTTCTGGATGAGAAACGAGACCTGTATAAGTGTTCGCAATTGACAAAGAATTTATGACTGTATGTATGAACTCGTAGGTGTCGCAGATTGCAGGAAGTAACTGGTAAGGCCGCACAAAATAGCGTTTAAGACTACACACGGCAGCTAGCATCTTGGATCACGGTCGATTACGGCAAAGCATAAAGCGCAAACAGTGAAACAACTACGCTGACAGCTTTCCTGGTGATGCCAGCTATTTATCTAGGACTAGAATGGCTCTTGACATGATAAGCACGAGCGGTTGCCCCGTCACCATTTTTTCCTGCGCATTCAACAGCTGCAGTTGAGGGTGACAAGGACCCTCGGTGCCAAACGGTACGACGATTGCTACGAACCACTGCCATGCAAAGGCCCTGGCGTGATACAAAACTATGAGGAAGAGCGCAGTCAGAAAAGGACGCCACCCAACAAAGGCTCGTTCATTCCATCTCGCCCCCTTCCTTTTATTTCGCCTTTTCCCTGTGCTTTGCAGTGACGGGCCATAAATTGTCGTAGACACGGACACACACGTTAGGCTAGTTAGTTTTTATCTTTCAATTCTTTAAACAACGGAGCCTTGTTCCTCTCAAAAGCGTTTATCAGAGAACTACGTGCTAGGTTTTCAATGGAACGCTAAATATATACGCTCACTACACAATATATATATATATATATAGCGTTATATTATGGAGAAGTTATCATGTATATGGATTTACTATAGCGGTGTTGAAATATTTTTAGTTACTGCTGTCGCTTGAATAGCTCATATTCATATCTGGCATCAGAATAAGCATTGTAGAAGCTACTATTTAATAGAAACACGACTATAGCTATGATATTAGCAATGCATTATTATAAATAATACTAACTAGTGAGAAATGACTAATCACTAATAGTTTTACTTAATGCTCAGTCAATCGTGATTTTTTTTTAGGTGAGAGATGTGAGCAGTGCGTACCTGTTGTCTGAGTAGTCCTTTCTGTGCAGAGGCCAGATGAGCGCCCACTACACTATGTACAACTGGCAATCCTACGCCTAATGAGACGACATAGCGTATCCGGGTCGGCAACATGGTGTAGCAGACGAATAAGACAAACACCATTTCCCACATCCCATCAGCGGCTGACACCTTCTGGTGAACGTCTACTAAATGGTCGTGCGGTTTGCTTCCATCTGTGGCCAGTGTTGAAGATCCCGAGATGGACTGATCTGCCGAAGTTGACTTTGGGTAGCCACCAATCGGCGCGTGCAATGCCGGTATTGGTAATGAGGCCAAGGCAAACAGCGCTGCCACGGTCATAATTGTTAAACAAAGTGGCTTTAACAGTACATCCTGCATCAGCTTGCTAGAGAGGAACGCAAGTAAACAGAGTAGGACAAACGCGAGGATTGCGCTAAGTAAAGCGCTCAGGCTGAGACCAAGCCCCAATGGCCAGCTATATAGAGCTCCCGTGACGAAGGTTGTCAGCAGAACGAATTCGAGAAGTAGCAGAGCCGAACTGATTGAGTTCTGTTGAAGCTTTAAGATGTATCGCCTGTAGAGCACTTCCAGTTCCTTGTTCTCGTAGTCGCTGCTGTGAAGCTGCGACGGTATCAAACGGCACAGACCTCCCCGAGGGCGCTTTACCAGAGCGACTGGTGCTCCAGGCGTCGGATTTTGGGCACCCTCATTTTCTACGATACTCCCCCGTCCAGGACCGCTGGAAGCAGTACTAGTTTGACCGCCTGCCATTGCGTCCTTCCCGGCGGAGCCGCCATCTCCTGGGCGATTCGTCTCCACCTCGCGTGCCATTACCCGTCTCGCCCGAGTCCTGTCCGAGCGAGCGGCTGAAGGCCCTTATGCGCCGTAAGTGAAGTTACCTGAAGACATGAGAGTGCGTTGTAATGTTAGACTTCCCAATACTTCTAATAAAATGATACGGGCATAGACTAAGTAATTTATAGTATCGATAACCAGATTCACTTAGTTTCTTCAAATCTTTCTTGAAAAAGCCTTCTCCAATGATGGTGGTTACTCTGCGTGAATAGTTGGCCTCTTTGTACATGATTTTGTTTTACGTACGCTCTTACGACAAAGGGATGAATGAACTAAAATAATTCAGTAAATACAAAACCAACGGTTTAACTCTAGTATTCATTCTACGACGAAATGTACTCAACTTACGGTCTGACCACTATAAATTATGTAAAAATGACTTATATCTGAAGGTAATGCATACACTTCTGGTCTCTCCCTTAGGATCGACTACAACCGGAACAACAATTTCAGATCAGATCAAAATAGCTAATGTGATTTTTCATATGAAGCTCTAGTGAACGTATCTTCCAGCGGCATTGAGGGACTTTTCTCATCTTTTTTTTTCGGTCCGTCCGATATACTGGACCGTCGGCTCTTACTAATTCCTCGTAAGTCCAATTTAGTGCAGTATAGATGTTACAGGTTCTGGGTCATGCTGTACTGAGAGGCGCACAAAACCAGTTGTTTAGACGACAGACCAGTCGTCTTATACGTAAACAATGCTCGATCCTAGAAATGAAAGCAGGTTGAGCTAACAGTAACTATAGCTAAGCCTTTAGTTTCCAAGACATTATAGCAGATAGTCTCATTGTGTTCGTGAGCTGCATCAGGCTCTAGAAGCAAGCCAATAACTGGAAGGCCACTTTGTAAGTAAAAAAAAAGGTGGGCGGGCACGAGAAACGAGCATACGTTATTAATATAAACCATCGTGCTGTACCATATTAAAGCTATTAAAATCCTCTAAGGTCAGGGAAACATGGAAGAGCAAAAGCTCATTGCCGGCAATAGATGCAGTGCCAGCAGCAGTAGTCTAGCAAGGAAACAGATACAATGAAAGCTGGAGGATCGAGATTCACTTGATCACGTTTCAGGCTTAGTTCAGTAGCCATTAGTCGTACAAAACTAGTGGCTCCGAATGAATGAATGGTACTCCGCTGATATACAATAGAAAAAATCAATAATAAGTTCTGACTACTATTTATATCATTACAGACCTACAGCTTACTAGATACGAATACGACCTTGTTCCGTTTTACCTCGTATCGTTATACTGCTATGATTTATCAGGCACGTAAAACATATATACAACAATGTGTTAACAACGCGCGCGTAGGGCACGATGATTTTACGCAGCCACTACATCTTACTCATCCTCTAAAGCCTTTACGAAAAATCACTAAGTTTGCGCTGGACGTGTATACTTCTAATACAGGACGGTGGACGCTAACCGATTTCTCGCAGAAATTTCGTTACTATATGTAGACATGAGAATCCGTTGTGTAAAGCTATACATTTTTCATCAGTGTTAGTTGAAGCAAACCCACGGAACAGCTGTGTGTACGCACTAGAGCAAGAATAATCAAGTGTTCTTATATATATATATATATATATATATATATATATATATATATATATATATATCTCATTAGTTAATAAATAACAAAAAAATTCAGGGTCGGTGTTTTCAATAGCCATTTTCATCTTTTCCCTATCCCCTGCCCATTTGATTCAGGGCAAGCGTGAGACAATATATTTACCACCTAAAAGTTCATAATAGTAAAATTAATATGTAATAAAAAATATGGCGACAAAAATATTACTTATTTAAAACGAAATGCAGGGCCTACCAAAGCACGATTCAGTCTGTACAAAATGCAAGACTATAACCAACCAGGGTCAATCAGTCAACTAAGAAAATGGCTAATCTCTGTAGAGAGGTTAGTTTTGCTATCTTATATAATAATTTGGATACATCCGAATTTCTAACTACCGATAGTTGACCTAAATAACGGCGTGATATTATGGTAATGAGCCCGTCCACTATTCATAGACCTTTCAAAAGCAACAGCTCCAAAGCTTGTGCGTAAAACATAATGCGATCCTAATAAAGACTGTATAGGACACTCTGTGACTGGAACGAAGGGCAGGCACGTGCCTCAACACAAAGTGATGATATATCGCACATCGTCTCACCTTTACGACGTGTGAATTTACGCAGAGACTACCTATCAAAGCATTGAAATACTCAATCTCATCATTTGTATAAAAATACGTGTAAGAGTATTGTTTTTTTAAGAGAGTCGCATTGGCTAGCTATACTTAGCTGATAGTTCTAACGAGTGAGTGATCGGTCCCAAGCCGGTTGCTGCAAAAGTCTACATGTTGCAAAACGAAAAATATTTATCACTCAGAATACAGAAATATTTTCGCAGCTGGAGAGACAGTGAGAGAAACGCTCCGGGGATTGATTTCTTGAAGCACTTTGTCGCAATCTTTTGATAAACCATTTTTATGAAAATGTTTTTATTAAAAAATATAGTCCACTAAAATTTCAGTATGTTTCGCAGTTATGTATAGTACAATCTGTAAACGATATGATATTATCTTCTAGTTACAGTGGTTTTTTTGAGGCAAGGTGCTTTCAAACATAGGACGCATAACATAAAAATGGTAATGAAGACTTCGGCAACTTTGTATTTGACGACGTTTTCATTCCTGTGAAAAGTTGGTCCTTCGGCCGTTTCAGCAATCCGCTAAGATTTGCTAAGGCAAAACGTGGACTCGCACTTCAGAACCGCATCAACATTATGAGCTTCCCGAACAAATGCGTCAAATCTGCTTTCTTTGATCGTTTCTTCTGTCAAAAGTGTATGATATAAACAGTTTGTACTGGCCCTATACAAACACACTTTTACTGTGAAGAACACCATTGGCAGCATCTGGACTTTGACACATGCTGAAAGCCACTGCTTTACGGTCCTTTTCGTATAACTTGGAGTGCTTCTTCGGGCCACTTGTACCCAAGAATAGCATAAAAAGCTTCATATTCGCAGTTTGGCGATCCCATCACTAAGACGTGCCGCACATTCGAGCGGAGAATGAGTTCCATTCTTCAGAACTCGATGAAGAGTTTGTGATGAGTTGCAGACTATGGAGTAGAGTTCAACGACTTATGGCTATGTAAGGCTATGGTGGCGCCCTACAGCACAATAATAATAATTAAACTTAGAGTATAGAGCACGTTAGCGACCAAAAACTGTCGAAGGCACACCCATTTTAGGTAATCGACGCTAAATGAAAGAACTCCTACAAAACGGAATGATAAAGAGAACTGCCGTGAGTTATCGGAATGAAAATCTCGAAGATAATAACTCTAGGCGACGAGATACGTACAAAATTTCGAATACAGCCAGAAGGACACAAAGATTTTTAGAGCTCTGGAACAACACATTCTTGGGTGCGTTAGAAAAGAGCTTTGTACGTGTTCTTAGATACTAGGTACAGGAACCTAATAATTCCTGGCAGAACTTAAATGTAACTACTCGCTGTAACGTTACTATAGCTGCACTTTGATAATATAAGCCATAACGTCTGTGAGGCGATCAAGCGCAGTCACCCCGATAAAACGTAAAATATCGAAGGCTGATGTTCTGCCTTTGTGTTTCTTCAAAATCACAACATACAGTAGAAAAGAAATGCTAACGAAGTGCTCTCGGAAATCCGAATCTTACTGGGTTTGAGAGCTGATAACTGACTGGGCCGATTACATGTACAGTAGCTGTGGTCACTGACAGACCCCTGAAACAGCAGGATCTGCTTTATCTGGCCTGCTACTATGATAAACAGAAGACTCGTTAGTAGATACAACAAAATCGAATTATATAATATTCCTACTTCTGTTATTACAATGCGCCGTAGTAGCCCTTCGGTTATATTAGCTTGGACCATTTGTCTTTAACTTCCTCTCAAACAATTACCTCTAATGACCATGCGCTTGATCTGCTAGAGGGAAAATATCTTCCTAACAGCGCAGTGGTAACGGGCTGACCTGATCTGAAATCTGATGAAATCTGACGACACGTAATCTAAGTCACACGACCTGAGTTCAAAACCAGACGCAGACACAGTTGGCCTCCTGATAGAAGGGGCCAGCAGCGATGCTTCACGGCTGTCCTGAATGTAAAACTCGAAGCATGTATTTCAGTATTACCCGTTGTTTCCAGCTCTTCCCTTATTTATTGCTAATGTCGACCCGCCATACTACAAACAACGTTACGCCACAAAAATACGTATTTCGATTGAGGGGTTCGCGAAAGGTGTTTACCATACCGAGAGATTGCAGATTTACACTCAGCGTAGATAACAACGCTTCCTAAGTAGACTATTCCAGCTAATAGTAAACCCATTATCTTGAAGATACCACTACAGCGTTGCCTGCTTTAAAGGAACAGTCGATTGAGGACCACGAACCCCGAGCCATTGATTCGTACAGAGACACGGAAAAAATTGGTTCGCATGCGCGTTTTGCTTTGCAGTTCAATAGGCTAATATGTGTTAGCCATCCACGGCTAAATGAATACGTGCCAGTAATACGTCAATAGCATAATCCCAGCTTGGCCAAAATTTCGATAGTAGGAGGGGTAGTGCGTAGAGCAAAGGACACACGGACTAATGGACAATTGAGTAACACTTACTGTATTGCGTGCATGGACAAAACTGCAATAAAGCTGAATGGCTCATGTTACGTTAGAAAGCTATCGAAAATGCGAGAATTTAAAGTGTACCAACGCTAGAATCATTGTACAAGTAGCACATTGATGTTCTTCTAATTTACCTTAGCTGACATAGGCCTATGCCATCATGTATGTTGGATCATCGTACGTTGGACTCATCGAGCGGCCCTTTGTTACGAGCTTGCGATGGGAAAAACAGGAGTACACAAACTAAAAGCGGACCTATAGAGTATGTGGATCTGTGTATAATCATACTGTCTGATTGCTGTTACAGATGTAAAACAGATTTTACCACCACGACTGCGGATAGCCTTTATTTTGGCGTCGAC